CTGCAGCTGGGAATGGTTCTTGAACTAACACACTGCCTTTGCGTAAGCAGTGGCACTGGTGAAGGGGAGGGTGCAGGATGGTAGTGAGCCAGCAACCTGATACATTTAAGTGCCATGTAACAACCCAAACATTCATGTCTAAAAAGACCATCAGGGTAAGAATTAAATTTGAAATCCTGCATGGTAATTACTTGCGTATTTCAGTTGCTAGCAGATTTCTGTGAGCTTATGTTGTGTGACAGTAGCAAATGCTACTTTCTCCCTGTGGAGTTGTGGTATCTAATAATCAGTGGTTTATGTTCCAGAATGTATACAGCAAAGTAAGGACCTGATCTTGAAACAACTGGAGTGCCGTACAAAGAAGAGAGAAGAGTTCAAACACAGACAGAAAGCTGAACAAGGGAGTCTCCTCAGTAAAACTTTTCATAAGGAAGATGTTCATGATTTTCTTAAGGTGAGCACGTAAAAACTTATTTTCTCTGTTCCATTAGCTTTTAAGGCCAAATTTATTGCAGATTTCTCCCAGTTCCATAAAATTGGGATTTTTGAGTCATCCCACGAATTGTGCACAGTAGCACAGGTAGGATAGGGTCAGACCCCCTATTGACTGGGCTTGCTTAGAGGTTTTTCCTCCAGTGTTGGTCATGTTGCACTGGAACAAGATGCGAAAGGGTGTTAATGCTAGATTGCATGTTTTGTAGAAACATCTTTTACTTAGATGCTATGTGTTTCGTTCAATATAGGAAATCTCTGGAGGAAAGTATCTGGCCTGAATTACGAAAGAAAGGAGACTACACTGATCTAATTGCTTTTCTATGAGTGTGGTTACTGAGGCTCAAATTTCACATAAGCAGAGGGAAAACTCATTATGGTTGCTGGCAGGATACCTTAGAGAAGGTTTGCAATAGATAATTTAATATGGTATACAATGGCCAGTGTAATGTCTTCTTGGCCGTATTTTCTATAAAGCTCTATTGTTATTGTTCAGAATGTATATATGAAATCAGAGTTCTTAGCTGTAAATGCCGAGAACTGCAAAACTCCTATAACTGCTGAGAACTACAGACCCAAGTTATTAAGAAATAAAAAAATCAATCTTCATTTTCGTTAAAGGAAATAATTTAAGGTTAAAGTGATTACATCCGGCATTAAACTTTTGATGAAATTTAATAACTTAGATAAATTACTGTATGAGAAGACCCAGATTCCAGCTGTAGCAAACTGTCAAAATTTATTGGTCTCAACACTGCAATTTTGTACTGCAGGGCCAAGTTCTTTAATTATATTGTATGAATTGGATAATGCAGTTACTGTTCTTGTATGCAACACCTATCTGGCAACACCTCACTTCAAAACAAAAGGATTCGGGCACTTTAAAACAGTAGAGCACATTTTAACCTCTTTGGCTTTTCATAGCTTGAGACAAATAATTCTATCACACATTTTTGTAGCTATTGAGCACTTGTAAATATATTTTCCTTATACACATCAGTCAAAACTTGTGGACACATCCCAAGTTCATTAAACAAAGCTTAGAAATTTTGTACTAAGACCTCCCCTACAAAGTTAGAGCCGCACAGCTTTCTGCAAGAGATTCTCTTCTGTACATTTCAGAAAGCTAAGAAATAAGCTTAGTTAAACTGTAGACTAATGATCAGCTTATGACAGCCTGAG